AGCCATGCTGGCTAGGGAATTCTGGGAGTTGAAGTCCACTCATCTTAAAGTGGCCAAGTTTGGACAACACTGCCATATAATCTAGTTACAAAGATAAGATAATTAGGTTTTTTCAATATAACTTCCATTCTCTTTCCTGATTTATTATTTTATTCTTAACATTTTGCAATAAACACTTGACATTTCGTTGCAATGGTTATCAATCTAAGAGGGAGAAATTTTGTCATCTGCTGACGCAGTATCTTTAATTATTAGAATGAAATTAAAATTATTAAATAAAAGAAAAAGGAAGGTAATCCCTAGAATCTTAGGTGCTTTGAAATAACAGGTTCTCCCCCAAAGTATTAACTCTGATATTCAAATATAATTTTGAAGGGAAGAATTACCCAAATTTTAAAGATTAAATAACCCAATTGCTAACTATTATTCCCAAATTAACAAGCATACTGGTAGATAAATCAGGCTCAGAATATTCAGAAGGAATTTGGGTTGAACATTATATACCTGGGAGCCAGTGTTTCAAATGACTGACATTGCGTCATTTGATAAAATAGAAAACAAAACAATCCTGAAGTTGTACAGTTTGCAGTCAAATGTTTCAGATTTTCAGTTAGAAATGGTGGAGCTTAGTAGTTAGTGTCTCATCTGTAAACTTAGGAGAACTGTAAACCTGGGAAAATTTCCTAAATCTTTCAACTGATACTCTAAAAGGTAATTCTGGACTTGACAAAATCTGCAAAACTATACTAGGTACCTCACTTGCCTTTATTCACTTATCCCAACATATTTCCTAAGTAAAGGCATTCTCACAGTGTATACTCTTGCTAAATGAAATTTTAGTTTCTAAACTAACAACATATCTCAGTGCTGCAGTTCCAAGTGAAAAGTGCCGAATAATAATTAAACTCCTTTAATCCTGACACTTGTTGAATCATGCAAAATGCCAAATATGGTTGAGAGAAAGAGGCAGCCAGAGAGGTGGAATTATGCAGTGTGGGTGGTAGTGGGGGTTCTGGTTCTGAATAAGGAGAACATAGCAGTGCATATGGTGACAAGCAGCAGCAACTCAGCTCAGTAGGGCCACACTGGGTATGCAAAGGATAGCAAATAAACACACCGATCCACTTGGCACTTGCTTGCATACAGGTGATCCCAGGTTCAGTCCCAAAACTACTGCTGCAGACTCGGACAAACAGCTATTGATCAGAACCAACAATATTGGGTTCCACAGTTTGTTCTGGTACCAGGTAGTTTCCTGGCTTTCCTTAGGTTTGTGATTGAATTGTCAGGGCTGCCCAGAGGCAGCTGTCTGAGGGGAATCAGGAGAGAAGTGACAAAACCAGTTTGCCAGGACCAAAGAACAAGACCTGAAGGACAAACCAGAACTGAGATGCAAGCAGAAGTTCAGATTAAAGGTCAATCAAAGGGTACAGAAACAAACCAGGGCTCCAGAAGATCTGGTTGGTAAAGCAAGAATTAACTCAAGAAGCCCTCTTGTATCTTCTCCAAGGGGATCCAATGACCATCATGAGTGGAGTCAGTCCAGAGCCTAAAGTGACTCAACTGGCTAATCAGACGCTGTAATGTGCAAGCACCAGATGTGGAGCAGCTGCACACAGATCCAGAATTTGAGACTTTGAGAACTCCTGGGACTCCTGACAGCAAATCTACCATATACTTTCTGGAGGATATTTAAAATCTTTCATGAAGGGCAATTCTGCATTTCATTTGTATTTCTCTTCCAAACCATATGCATTTAGTAGGATGAGAAAGATTGTCTCAAGAATATTTGTCCTATCAGGATCATCACACACTCATATGTAAATTGGGCTTTAGGAGACAAGAGCTTACCCATAATATAGTATTATAGTTTTCAAATCAGAACTGCCCAATTTATGATTCAGCTGAGAGCAGCTCAGGAACCATTTATAACTGTATGCCAGGGATTCAGTCAAACTTCCTATTTTAATGTTCTGACTGGGAAGGAATGGTATCTTGAAGACCAAACTACATGGCTGGTGTGCTAAGCTTGGGTTATTTTGGGGCTCACAAGTCATGCACCCCTGGGTTAAAGTCCTTTGCAAATCAAGGAGAACTACGTAACTTTCTCACACTTACCTCCACTGAGAATAATGACAGCTATAAATATTGCCAGGTCACTGTCGTCTAATTCCAGTGCGTTGAATTTGACAGCAAACTCAAACTTTGGCTCCATAAAGTCACAGAAAGGTTTCCGTAGACTCTTTAGGAACTCCCGAGTCATGAATCCTTGTCCGTTGGATATGAGAACACCATCTTTATTCATCATGGAGGCTAGGAGCGTATAGATGATCTCATGCACTCCATATTTCAGGAGAGTTACTTGGTCATTCAGATCTAAACTCACAAAACCTGGAATGCTTTTGGCAAATTCAGTGATTTCCTGAACAGCTTCCACCGAGCGAAACTGGCAGCGCTGGAAGATACGTATGGCCACCTCTTTGTTTTGCTCTTGCATGGGGGTCAAATGTTTACACTTGATCTGGTCTTCTCCCATCATTAAGGAATTCATGTCATAAATGACAAATGGCTAAAAAAGAAAGATACAGTTGATTATCAGGATTCTTGCTACACAAAACACAGTGAGAGTTACAGTCCCAAACTATCTGAAAAACAGGTTGGAGAAGGCTGACTGAAGTGTATGAATGTGAAGAACTCTGGCTTACAATAGCTCTCCCTGCCTTCAAGGACATATTTTGAAGAAAATCATTTTGTTTTGGTAGATAAAGACCTATTTTTTTCCTCAAGGTAGACTGCTAAGAAGCAGCAATCATTTAACAACCAGTAACATATCTGCTTTATTATTTTGGAAACTTATTATACCAACCAAATACTGCACATTAAAATTAGGCTCCTACATTATATCACTAAGTCTAGCTGTACTTTTACAGCTTTCTGAATTTCCCTACCAAAGATTTGAAATGGGCAATAAAACTCATGGAAAATGTATGGCATGGGATTGGGAATTTTTTCAGCTGATCCCCCCCCCCCTCCACATTTACTGAATGTTCTTAATGCCAGTGCTGCAACATAACACTGTCATCCTCAACGACAAAGAAGAGAAGCTGACAGAGAAAAGCTTACTCATACCATAGTTCTAAAAGTCATCAAGCAACAAGGAAGATAAGCCATTACTCCCATATAAAGTGCAGAAGGTAATAGCATTATGCAGCAAGTCCATTTATTTCATTGAATTTATTCCTAAATCAATAATTTTATGATTAGCCATTAATCCTTTATAAAAAAAACAGGTAAACAATTGTGCTTGATGAAGTGCCACGAGATATATATTTTGTTCTAGAAGGCTGTTTCACAAGACCATTGTGATCACTTCATAAAGAGCTGTTTACTCAGAATATATTTTAAAGTCATCACAATGAACAATGTAGCTACATGGTTGAAAAGTCGAAGGTACTGGGGCATTATTAGCATCAACTGGACTTTGAAGTAACTGTTCTTAAAATCAAGGGAATGTCAGAAGTGGAATGTATTATATACTGTGGAAGGCAGAGGGTCTGATTTCTACTTTTCTTCCTTACTCACTGCAACGCCCTTAAAAATGGCAAGGTTGAGGAGCTCCCCTGCTACAGAGGATAGGAAGATTGTCAGAATTAAATCAGCCATCCTGCACAAACATTAGAATAAAGGCACCACATGATACAATTCAAGGAGTTCACTTAGTATTTGTTTATGCCAATTATTCTTGATTATAAATGGCAATTAGTGTTGTTCTTCCAGCAGATAACATATCATTTCTATTCACTGTTCTCTTTGTATTATATTAATACAAATGTTAGAGGTCTACTTGAATACAAGAGGCTCAGTCTACTTATGGTATAGCTACAGAATAAATGTTGGACAAATATATTTCACAAGACTCAAGAAAAGAGCCAGTTTGGTCTAGTGGTTAAGGTTTTGGACTAGAAACCAGGACACCTTGAATTCTAGTACTCCCTTAGGCATAAAAGCCAGCTGGTGACGATGGGCCAGTCTGTCAGCCCAACTTACCTCACAGAGTTATTGTGGGGGAAAATAGGAAGAGATTATGTATTCCACAATGAGTTATGCAAAATAAGAAAGGGACATTATTATTACTATTATTACTATTACTATTATTATTCCATTAATGATTTGATTCAAGGCTATTCTGGCTCCACAATGAAATGCTTGGGCTAGGGAGATCCATCATTGTGATATTATAATCCTAGTATTGCAGAAGATACCAACTGGTGGAAGCTGGAGAGGCCAAAATGGATTCCCGGTCACTTAACAGAGTATTTTGCAATGGCCAGTGAGTGCTGTATGTTTCAGAAAAACTTCTGTTACATAATTATTTTAAACTGTACAAACTATTCAAGCATTACCAATCATTTACATGATGAAGATGTGCCTACCCACAATTCTGAGAAGGAACATAGTTGAAAACTGTGTCCATAGTAAACATGTTGATGTTTGGGAGCCCAAAGTCCATCACAGTACACATAATAAAATTGTTTTACACATTATTTACTGAATGAGCACATCTATTCTGATTCTGGTACTCTTTAAATATAAGGCCAAGATAGAAGAATTTTACATGGGGTTTTCATTTCTAGTTTTATCCTGGTAACTCTATCCTGACAGTAGGAATTTAAACGTGGAGAGGTGAACAACATCACAAGAGTGCACACAAAAGTACCAGTTTAGATGTAATTCTCAGCACATCAGACTAGTGGTGGGAAAGCCCTGTTTCGAAGAGTTTCCAGTCTCAGATTTTCTTTTTTCAGGGAATAAGCAGAGAATTGCTGCCTATTATAATGCTTACCTTGAGCTCACATATTTTAAAATGTTATTTAATGTACATCAAAATATGACATTTTGTATGCAACCATAAAAAATATCTGATTATTGTTTATGCAGGATTACAAATGGAAAGGCAATCAGTAAACTGTGTTCTACTTTTGAAGGGCCCTCTTACATCCTTGTTCCTCCCATTTCATACATTCTTCATATCAGCAGTTCCATAAGCCATAGTTTCACATAGCCACCGTGGGTAATTGCAGACCAGATCTCAGTAAAGGGTACTGCATATCAGCAGATTTGGGTAAGTGGTTTTGTTTGAAGGAGGGCTTTTGGAGTGTGTGTGTGCGCGTGTGTGTTTATGTATGTGTATACTGTACTTATGTGCAAAATGGCAGATGGTTTTTGCCCATGTGTAAAGTCTATTTTTTTTTAAAAACGCTCCAGCTCCCATCCCTTAAGTATTGCCATTTAGTGGTACCAAGGAAGTGTGACTTTTCCATGGCAGTCCCTGCCCTGTGGAATACCCTTCCCCCTGGGATCTGGCAGGCCCCCACCCTTTTAGCCTTCCAGAAAGCTGCAAAGGGCTGGCTTTCCCCCCAGGTGCTGGGATAGAGTAAGGTTGGAGCCCAAGGACTGTAAGGAGTGAAGGGTTGGAGATGGTGGGTCAGGTGCCTGGTTTTCTTGGTTTTATGGTTTGTTTTTCTTATTTTTGTGAGCTACCCAGAGTTGTGTTTTACAAGATGGGTGGCCATGTAAGGCTAACGAATAAACAAATAACCCTGGTTTCATTATCCACAGTTGTTAGACTGGAATGGGACCTCTGCAAATAACAGGGGCAACCTCTACACATACAGTCCACCAAGTTTGAAGACAGCATATCTATAAATCACACAGAGATCCAGTAAAACTATTTGGAAGTAGCAGTCCAATCCTTTTCTCATCACCAGTTGTGGGCAGTGTGAACATTTTCATGTCTTACAGAGTAGGATAGTATATATTTGGTTATGTACACCCAAATGCTGAACATCTTGTGAGGAGTGCCCCATTTTTTATTTCAGAGGTGCATTTTGCAGAGTAGCACACAAGAAGAGACCAATTTATGTATTTTGTGGGTATGTTAATTGCATCTTCTCCTTCTTCAGAAAAACAGACTAAGATTTCTTTCAGTGCAGAGGCTGGGCTGATGGGAGGTCAGCACCAACTCCATAAGTTTTATGGAGCTTCTTGGGATCTTGAGAAGCCAAGCCAATTAAATATCAATTCAACTCCTGTTCCAGAGGAAATGCTCCAAAGACAATTTGGCAGTGCTTCCTTGGGAGCTGCACAGCAGGCAGTGCCTTACTGGCAAGAACTCCTGCCTTGTTCTGCTTTCTGGAACTTCCCCCTTCACTTAGGTGTTTAAGGCATCCTTGCCCCTTCCTGCTAACCCCTATCCTCCACCACTGACCAGCTCAGGGAGGAGAGGGAAGGGCACCTGTGGGATGCTGTGAAAATGCAGCCTATGGTTGACAGGAACATGCAGAGCTGGTGGCCATCTGAATGGTGAGGCTGAAGGATGAACTAGTATCTATATCACAAGTCAGAAAAGATGCCATTAAGTACAAGAGGCCACCTGCAAGGTCATCACATGGCATCAAGGAAGTACAAGGGTTCTTTCTGATCAAGGGAATCTTACTCAAATGAGAATAAAAAGAAAAATAAATTTGCTCAGATCTAATGCAAGCAGGCAATAAAGGATGTAAACAAGGATTTTCATGAGCATATAACTAATAAAAAAACTAAGACTAATAGTTAAACAGGTAGAGTCTAAAGAAGTAAAGTAAATACTGGAAACAAGTACTGAATTCTAGACATTTGTTGACAATTGAAAATAAACAGATTACTGGGACTAGATGGGTTAGTTTTTAAACAACAAAGATGTGAATTTGCTGTTCTTCTGACACAGGGTTTCTCAACCTTGACAACTTTAAGATGTGTGGATTTCAACTCCCAGAATTCCCCAACCAGCATTCTGGTTGGGGTATTCTGGGAGTTGAAATCCACACATTTGCTGTCAAGTTGAGAAATCCTAGCAAAAGGATGTGACAAGTCCTTGAATTACCCTTTATAGCAGGGAACTGAAAATGTCCAGTCTAATGCCAAGAAAGGGATCGGACTGTAGCCCAACGTGGCTGAGAGAGGCTGCTTTCAGGGATAGCTCCATTGGATAATGTAGGAGATAACCTACGGAAAAAGGGGTGACCGTAAAGGAAGACAAGTCCAGAAAAGTTGTGCTGACCTTCACATACTTGTACAGGATTCAAATATTTTATTAGATTTTTTTTCAAATAATGTTTACTTATTCTATCTAAACCATTTCCTGTGTTTCGGCTTTGGTTTGAAATATGTTATGTACCAAATACATTTTTTTAAAAATACAGCTCCATTAGAAGGGTAAACCCTTTGCCCAAAGAAGAAAACAGCAACTAGATGGAACTTACTGATTGGTCCGTTGTCTTTCCTGTCAAGATTGCCCTTGCCTTGGCTTTGGTCAGCGGGAAAGACTTTATGTATGAATCATACAGCAGCTTGGCCAGGGCTCGCAGATCAGCAGACTCAGGGTTCAGCTGGTCGATGTCACTTGAAATCTCTGCCAAGAGTTTCTCCTTCTCAGCTTGTGGCATTCGCCCAAACCTAATAGCTGAAAGGAAAAGGGCAATAGTAATAAACTGCACCCAACTGATCTCCATTCTATTGTAATTGCATTTTTTTTCCTCCACCATCTTTTACAACTTTACAGGATGGATTTCTTTTATGGGGAAAGGGCATTGAAAAGAATGGAAAAAGAACAACAACAACAACAATCAGCTCATAAAATGTACCAACAGTGAAGAGGCAGTGAGGGCATCCTAGTTTGGTGGCTCTAGACTGCTTGTTTGGTTGGCTTATTTGCGAACATAAGGCTAGTTCAAGAGAACTTGGTGACATTTTGATGGAAATCAGACCACCAATGTCCAGCTCATTATAGTGGCATGGCCTACGTGACCCAAACTGTAATATAAATATGATAAATAAATAGATAAATACAATAAAAAATATTGTTACATCAGAGGCATCGTTTTCTGTCACTCCAACATAGCTTTATGCTATGAGACAGAACCCCACCCTCCATTATAGTCTCCAATATATCCTGCTATAAAGCAGAATTAAAATAACCTATCTCATTTCAGATTTCTTCACCTATTAGCAGAGGAGAAAGAAAACTAGCATACTGATAGAGAGCAGAAGTATAAAGTATAAATTTAGTTACTTTCCTAGAAACATCCCTGTCTACTACTTTTTTCAATAGATATCATGAACAATTGCTTACTTATGTTTGTTTTGGATTCTAACTGCAATATAATATTTCCTCTCTGTGGAAAAGCAGTACCTGTGTTTGGTCAGCTGTGTGTTACCATCACTAGTGAAAAATCATTATTAAATCACCTCCTTTTTTGTCTTTGAGAAAAATGATTTTCCACAAATCCTAATACTTCCCATATTGTATAAAGACTCTGCATATGAATAAAGCGAGTACCTACATAAGCTAATCTTCTATTGGAGGAATTGCTTTAGGTATTGTGTGTGTTCAGAGCTTTGGATAATATGGGGTAAAAAACCCAAAACCTATCTTTTACATATAGGGTTATTTTTGTTTTCTATGCTGAAGGCATAAATACTTTGAAGGGACAAATAATTTACTCTGGTAGAATTTCACTGATTTCAAAGGAACGTTTCTAGATTATATCCAGAAATAAATGTATTGACATATAATCATTATGACTCAATTAAAAATTATCTGTGTCTTTGTGTTCATATGTCTGTTTGTCTGTCTCTATATAATACCCTGTAATCAATTTTTCTGTAAAGAACTGAAATTATTCTATCGTGAAAAAGATAAAAGTGATTCAGTTTCATGAATGATTCATTCATTCATTCATTCATTAGCTGAACTATTATAGACCCAAAAGATACCAAAATCAGTGGAAAAATATTTTCAATGTATAGATAATGGATTAAAAATGTTTGTTTTAATAATATTAATATTAAAATATAATTTTAGGAGGAATAACAAGAGAGTCTAGTCATTGATAATGCCAATACTGAAAGATTTTACAGGACACTTAGAATTGGAACATGGAACATGAGAAGCATGAACAAAGGAAAGCTGAAATTGTCAAAGCACAAATAAATATATACTAAACTGGATGTTTTAGGAATAAGTGATCTTAAGTGGAGCGGAATCAACTACTTTAAATCAGATGATTACATGATATACTATTTGAGGCATGAGTCCATACAAAGGAATGAAGTAGTAATGGCATTCAAAACGGACACTGGTAAGTATATGCTTAGTTCTAACCCAATAAATTATACCATCCTATTTATCAGAATAGTTCAGTAAACAACAAATGTTATACAAGTGTATGCATCTATATGTATGCAATGGGGAAAACAATGAAGATGACAAAGAAGAGAAAATGGTAGATAGGCTCAAGAATAAAGATGGAAAGTGTGCTGGAAGAGCAAAGAGGATATTAATCCTAAAGAGGAAGGCAACAACAAATTTAGTACACATTATTACATACTAACATGAAAGCCAGTTTGGTGTAGTGGTTATGGTGCTAGCCTAGAAACCAGGAGACAGTGAGTTCTAGACCTCCCTTGGGCATGAAAGCCGGCTGGGTGACTTTGGGCCAGTCACTCTCTCTCAGGCCACTTCATCTCACAGGGTGGTTGTTGTGGGGAAAATAGGAGGGAGGAGAATTAGGTATTTTTGCTGCCTTGAGTTATATATAAAAAAGCAGGATAAAAATCTAACAACAACAGGTTCTTCAAAGAATGCATGAATCAGGGCTTCCACGGTGATCCTTTGTGCAGAGAATCCACAAATGCATACATTTTGTAATGAAATCATTCTGACAACATCTGGTCCATGTATTTAGGGGCTGGGGCAACAGATCCAAACTGTCCACTTTTAAAAATGCATGTAGTAGAGGGGAAGTGATTTATCCAATTGAGAGATATTGGTAATGTATGAATTAGGATGAAATGGATTATTCTTTGCAAGATCAAGGAGTTCTCTGCTTCCTATGGAGGGAGACAGTATTATTTATAATCTTCATTTGTACAGCATGTTTCCATGGATGCCAAGCTTTATAGCCCTTAATATGTTACACTGCCATATTTACCTACAATAAACTCACAGCAAAGCACACAGTACCTTTAACAATCTGAGAATTTCCTAGTTTAGTGCTATAAGCCATAAATTCTGGAGGTCAACAAAAGCTGAACCTCCAAAACATGTGATTTTCTTCTGCATTTGTAGACAGCAAGTATATAAATTGGAAAAGGAATTGCCTAAAATAGCTGATGGAACTTTGCAATAATCCAAACTCTAGTTTTTTCCTTTTAATGTGTAAAACAAGGTGGTTCTGTAGGGCCAGTTTAAGGAGTTTAGTGGTCTAATGCAATACTAGGTTTGGAACTCACCCACAGTCCTAGATTCATATTACAGGTGGATTCTTGCTAAATGAGATTTGAAAAAATTACGTATCCAAAATAAAACACTAACAGCACCTGAACTAAATATATATCTGGAAGAAACACACCATTCGCTAATGGGTAGAACAACTTCCTCAAACCTCCTGTCAGCCCAATCTATTCAGTGGCTAATACAGAGGTATTTTAATCTATGGGTGTCCTTGTCTCTTCCAAAACTCCAACAATCTGAGGAGAACACAAGGTGGAGCAATGGAGGAAGGCAGCCATAGGTTATTTGTTTTTCCATCCCTGCACACCCATACTGTAGTCTATTTCAGCCTGTCACCTTGCTTAAGGGGAGTCCATTTTGTTAAGGCCCAAAACAGGTACGATCCCCTTAAGCAGATGCTGTTGTGTGTGTATGCATGCATGCATAAATAAGAGCAGATTGGCCATGACGTCATTGAAAATGGTCTACACTTTCTCTAAAATGAGTGTAAAAATATTTTTGTCAGTAAACAGTAGTCTCAATCTTATGAAATTTCAGAAGGGCCTTGAACTGTTTTAGTGGGAGGTAGTCTGATCTTTAAGCTTTAATAACTATCTTTTGCTAAATATATGTGTTTGTGAGAACTACTTCTCCCATTGATAAAAGGGTTGAGAGTTATCAACACAGGAAATGCCAACTGTCCCATCCTCACAAAAGAGACAGCCTTTCTTTCCTACATCAACAAAGCAGGAGAAAACAGACAAGAGTTTTGCTGCTTAACTGCCTATATATACTGTAGGTGTCTTATCTAAAGCAGAGTACTTGCTTGAATTCCTGCATTATAGCTGTAACTTTCTTTCTAATAAATTCTAATACAAATACAGATAGTCCCCAGTTTAAGAATGAGTTTTGTTCCCAAGGTCTGTCCTTAAGTCGAATTTGTATGTAAGCCGGAACAGTATTATTGTATAATACTGTACAAGTTGTACTGTGTAATGCACTTGAACTATTGTGTATTTTACTCGAATTTTGCTATAATAGGCTCCATTCACAGATAGTCCCCAGTTTAAGAATGAGTTTTGTTCCCAAGGTCTGTCCTTAAGTCGAATTTGTATGTAAGCCGGAACAGTATTATTGTATAATACTGTACAAGTTGTACTGTGTAATGAACTTGAACTATTGTGTATTTTACTCGAATTTTGCTATAATAGGCTCCATTCTTAACTATGGGTCATCCTTAAACTGGGTGTTCTTAACCCAGGGATTACCTGTACTATTAATTAGAGCTCTTAGATTCTTGTTCCTTAAATTAACTGTTTCCAGTCAAGACTGTGAGGAGGGAAGTTTGACAGTGTTTGATAGTAGTCTTCTTCAATTTCACTTCAGCTGCCTTTAGCCACCTTGGTTGGAGATTAATTGGAAATGAAATCCAATCCATCTGAGGGAAACAAGGTTAAGCAAGGCTACGCTAACTTAATTCACAAAAATATTGAGGATGGAACTTTTATCTTTCATGGTGTGGAATCTGATACCTCAAAAAGCTCAAGTCACTGGATAAAGTTGTATATTAGAGCCCCATGTCTTTTAGCTCTGCCCTGAGAAATCCCATACAGTTTATCACTATTCTACCATAATAGATAATATATACTGTTCAGGATGGGCTTGACTAACGAAGTGTGTGTGTCCATATGAGGTTCTACAAAAATATTTTCACAGCAATATTTCTGCCTTTAAAATAACATCAGATTTGAGAAAATACTTCTCATAACAATTTATTTGTTGGTAATAAAAAACAAGTTAACATTTTCTTCTGGCGTCAGGAAACTAAATTTTATACTGAGAAAATAAAAACCACAGAGAAGATATTTTCCCAGTAATGTTTGTAATTCTTTAGTTTTTGAATTACATAAGACTCTGTTATGACATTCTATTCCTGTTTTTGCTTGGCTTTGCCAGGAGAGAGAACAGAATCTTCACTAGAATTCATTCTCTCAAGAATTATAACGTTAAGTATTTTCTCATAAATTTATAGCATGAACTTAAATGGTCTTTTAAATTGTCCTGTACAATACATTCATCTCCTAAATCTATCAAGCTCAGCCTTTCAAACCATGTCAGGGCCAAACTATGTGTTATACTCAAATACATTCTTTTAAAAGTCAATGGGTACTCCTCTAAGGAAATGTAAGGGGAGATATGCAGCCCAGAAGAACTAGGCAAGATTTTATATCTGAGGAAGAATTTTTTTCTGGCAAATAGACCACTGAATATGTCAGAAATATGAGCAAGAACAAAGGAGAAACAGTTCTTTGCTGAATTTTTGCTCATTAAGAATTGCAAGTATAAAAGCTGACTTTGGGGAACGTAAAATGTTATCTGGGAAAAAAAAAAGGGAAATGTACCCGTTCAGTCTTTTCTGACAATTTGCAGCGATGCTATTCCTCCATGCTTTTTTTTTTTTTACATCACTTTCTCTTCTCTCCCTACTGACTGGAATCATTTAATGAGTGTACTAATATCACAATGCTTTATAGTAAATCAAATCTGGCTTTGTTGCACTGCCAATGAGGATACATGACACAACATTAACCTCACTTGGCAGGAGAAATACCTCTCTACATTGTCAAGGCTTCCATCACAAAAGATAGCAATAGAAATAGCAATAGCAGTAGCAGTAGCAGTAGCAGTAGCAGTAGCAATAGCAATAGCAATAGTAATAGCAATAGCAGACTACAGAATGTTTTCTGATCTGTAATACTTACTATTAGGACAGGCAATGTACTATCCTATCACACTCTCAGAAGACAGCAGGTGTTCTAGTTGTAGCAAATAAAAGCCTTTGTGAAAAGTACTCTCCATGATTCACAAGGCCAAATGCGTGAGATGGTTCAAACCTGGACCCCATAATTTTGGGACTACTTGCCAAAGCATGTTATAACAAGTAGTTTCAGCTTAGAGCCATGTAAGCAATCCATAATTCTCCTCTCCTAGAAAATCAGGGGACACCAGAGGGCTTTTCCGATGCTACCAATTAATATAAAGCTATCAGATGTTCTGACTTTCCTCAGACTGGGTAAAATGTAACTTTCTTCCACTGAGAATGGGACCAACCATAAGCCCCATGAAACTGTAGAACTTAAGTGGGCATTGGGATGCTGAGCCAAATAGCTGTTCACTCAGCTCCAGTTCAAGCAGAAATGCTGTGAAGATAACTTAGCTGCATTTCCTCTGGAGTTGTAGTGGTTTCCCAATGGCAAGAATTCTGGCCTTGGCCTGTCTTCTGACATTATGGATTTCACCGTTCCCTCCTGCAACCAAGGCACCCAGGCAGGGCTGCCATCTCCCCTGCACAATCGTAGTCATTTCTATTGTTTTCTGCACTCTTTCACTGGCCAGGTAAAAGCTAGGCACTTCACTAATAATTATGCATGTGAAAGATAGAGGGACAAACCTTTTCATGTCACCTTAGTTAAAATGGATGTAGTACATTGCCCCAGGCTTAACATGGAAGTGAAATAAGTTCCATCAAGTAAAGAAAGAGAAGTCTGATGCTGGAAGTGATAATGTCATTACGCTGAATGATATACTTAGCATATGATGGAAAACAACAGATGAGTCAGAAACAAAAAGGGCCTTGAGACATGTAGGCAGAAAAGCCAGTGATTATATAGTCTCAATTAATAAAATGGTATGCAAATAACCAAATAGGCCAAGGCTAACGCATATAATGAGATGTAGCAATGGAAGAGGAAATAAAAGGGGCAGGGAAGTAGAATAAGCAACCTGAAGCTTTTCAAGCCACACATTGACCAAGAAGATGTTTGGAATAACCTAGATAAAGCCTATGCTTCAATGGGATATTTACATTTTATTGTGGACCTTATTTTTCCAAAAGAATAGGAAGAAATACACGCTCAGGGCTGACCTAGGAGAAAATAACCCTAACCCTAACAATCAAGAAATATATTACAGTATTGGGCAATATTGTCTAGGAGTTTTATTTTGTACCAAATGGTTATATGATCTCTTCATATGTTTTTGATAATGTTATATTCCACATATTGCACTGATACCAGAAGGAGGTGATTTATTTCTAAAGTATGGCTAGGATACTAAGATGCATAGTGTGATACAGGAGAATGGAAAATAATTTAGGGAAAACTAACAGCGGTAGTTAATGGGAGTACAAAGATAGATAACTATTGTGTACAACAGACACAGCAAACAAAATACCAGCTAACATCTTGCTGATAATTGCAGATCTCTTCCAGCTGTTCTGCTGGGTGAACATGCTTCTTCATTCCTGCAAGATCATTCTGCTTGAGCTATTATGTAAACCAACACTCCAAGGATATACTTCTCTGTCAGGACTAGAGGAGCCTTTGCTCACACACTGGAGCCCTATGCTTGAGGTTTTAACAGAATATTTATGCATGACTGGGAAGGATTACCATGGTTTCTAGCCTTATCAGTTGCCTCTGACCCTATTAAACATCTTTCTATGTGCATTTAATTGGTGCTGTGCCTACTTGCCAAACTCCATGGCATGTAAGCCTGGACCTTGCAATGCATTCCCAGTATTTTCAGGGGGGTATTCAACTGATGTTTTTGAACACCATATTGGATTTGGGGTCGGCAAGATGGGATATGCAGGCACTAGGATCCATGGATCCTCCAAATTATATTAAAAAAATATTTTTTAAAACATTAGTCTAACTCTTTTAGCATTTCATGGGATAATGGGAGTGAGATAATGGGAGTGAGGTTACTAAAACATTTGAGGTTTATTTCATAAATTTTCAGGCAACTGTTAAAGAACAGTTATGCGTGCAGGTTGCCTAGGGTGTCATAGGACATTCTATATAAAAAGCTGCTGATCCGTGTTATAAACTCTATGCATTCAAAATGCACAGAGCCTCATGACTGCGGAACTGGAGAAAGCCTTCACAGTCAATGGATGCAATCCACTTCCCTGATACTCCACCACCAGTAAATTAACCAGAAATTAAGATGCTCACCATTATGCGACATTCCAACGGCAAGACACTTCTGGAATCGGCAATATTGACATTTATTTCTACTTTTTTTATGAATGCGACAGTTGAGATCACATCGATCATAGATTAATTTTAAACGGATTGTTCTGCGAAAGAAACCCTTCAATAAAAATAATACAAAAAATATATATATATTAGCTATAAGTAATTGCCCACTATATCAGATTAAATTTGAAAGATAACCATGTATCTATTTTTGGCCAGAAATATTTTCATTTAATGTGAATTTGACCACAATCTGTAAGATTTTATGAAATCTGTTTGCTCAGTGTTCATTCAGAACAGAGCAATATGGTGTGTGTGTTTTTTTTAAAAAAAATTGCATTAACTTAAAAGGAACTCTTCTTAATTCCAGTGGAATTTACTTTATGGTAAGTTCATTGTAGCTTGGTTAAAACATCTACAAGAGTTAAGTATACTAAATAGAGAATTTGTGCATGCACATGTATGGAATAATTTTCTATCTTCTTATTTATAATTCTGCAAAAATATTATTTTAAGTACTAACTTAATAAATTATTGTATTAAATTCTAGCTAGTGGGAAAGTGATTTGTTTGTTTAATAAAAGAGGCTTTTTTATAAATTGAAAGGAAGTTGACACGA